TTTACACAGATCAGCCTTTAGAGGACAACAAAGAGACAGTCATGAGTCTGGATAAAAAGTCTCAGTATAGAACTGGATTTTTCTGGGTTTTCTTGTTTGCCCCATGGCTTAATGCTAATTTTGTCTTTAGTCGTGGCTTTCAGGCTAGACAACCCACAGGATTATACCACTTGCTCCGCTGCATTTATCACAATGGAATCAAAGAAGAGTTGAAGGATTGCATGAACAGCCCTACAGCACATCACCTCTTCATGAGTCCACGTTTATGTATCTGGTTAGAAATCTGAACTGCCTCAACACTTTGCCCATGAGGTAAAATGATCCAGTCCTGACAAGGTTGGACTTCTCTATCCTTAGTATGTTATTACAGTGCAGGTAAGGCACCTAGCTGAGCTCTAGGAAGGGCTAATGCTTTCCTGAATTCTTAGACTGTATGTATATTTATAATATATATAGTATGTCTGTTATTATAATATATATATTAGTAATAACTGTACATATTAGAAATATATATGTGCCACTGTGATGAGGAATCCTTTGGTACAATGCTTCTTAGATTAGGCAACAAAAAACAAAGGATCTTGCTAACAAACAGCACAAGCAGGCAACACATGCCTATTCCTTGGCACCTTTTATTTGTTAATATCAATTCAGCATCTCTGCAATAAGATACCTTAAGATGCGTTGAAAAGGAAGACATCTTTAATAAAACATAACTATCATAACCCTGGTACAGGTAAGGCTAAATAATTGCTGGTATGAATGTGAGGCTCTACAGAATTGTTTCTTCATGGTCATACAAGACTGAGAAATTATTCTTCTTGCAGCCTTGAGTTTTCTGTATTCAGGTCAGACGGGAATCTCAGAGCAACTGCACAAACATGGTTGCACCAGGGGTGTAGATGAGCCTCTGTTTTTTTGTGTATTTGGTAAAGTTGTGCGAAACTCAGCAGTTTTCAGCCTCACTGGCAGCTTCTTTGAAGATTTCCCCTGTTCTAAGCTTTGTATGAAGTTGAGTTTGGAGTTTGAGCAAACCCAGCATTTCTGAGCCCTTCATGGGGACTGTCCTGTTCTTCAGATGAGACACATGCTTAAAGATCTTGAAGAACTGGGACTTGGTGGAAAAATATCAGAGAGAACTGTGAGCTTAAAGTTTTAAAACCGATTTTGCTCGTATCTGACCTGTGCCAGCCTGTGAACCCTAGTCTTAATTATTAATGTTGAGCAAGTAACATTGCAAGCAAGTAGAGACCATGATTCCACATTTACCAGTGGTAGAGTAATTTATTCCTAAAAAAAAACCTTTCTTTTACCCTAAAGTAGTAGATGTTGGATTCTGATAGGTAACAGACTTTATAGCCCTTTAGGAGGGGCCTAACAAAGGTTATTCTGATAATGTATATTTATGTGATTCCTCTCTTTTTTTTCCTGATCATAAAAGTTCTGTTTCTTTCTGACATCATATGGCATAAGCATATACGTATAAAATCTCAACATTTCATATTGTTGGGAACAACTTTCGGTGCTTGAAGGCAGAATTTCTTAACCTATTCTTGTTATGGTGAATCTATATGAAACTTTATGGGATTACTGATTGGTCTTGTGATCAAAATTCAGATCATATTGAATAATGGTTGGAAAACATAAAGTCATGCTAAAATATTCAAAGTCCTTCATCAGAGGTTCTTGTTTAAGTCTACAGACTGCCTTTCCCAAAAGTAATTGTTTGACTCCATCTCAGTCTAGAGATTTATACATCACTGACGTAGAGAATTTATTGTGATTAATCCTACAGTTCTGGAACACAGTTAGAAATGAAGATGAAAAATTCATTATTGAAAAAGCATATCATGAAATTTATAATGTCTTTATGTAGTTCCTCATTCAGATTTATACTTTTTTTTTTTTTTTTTTTTGGCAGTGCACTAACAGCTCCTGGCTATTTCAGTCATAAATAAGACTAATTTTATGTGCATAGTCAGGATCAGTGACTTATTAGGACAGTCCAAATAATCTCTAATTATTGTAGGCATTGTCAGAGTATTCAACAATGAATATGGTGAGGGTGTCAAATACTTCTCTGACATACAGTTGCAAAACTCTATCTATAGACATGAATGCTTCATATGTGTTTTTAATTCACTGTAATCAACAAGGACAACATGTTCTTTCAGAAATCTAGTTTTAGATGAAGGCCTATGATCAGGGGTGTGGAGGCCAATGTATGTAGAAGATTTGAATTCTTAGCTTGCTGTATGTTATGTTGAAACTTCCAACATTTTTTTAAGAAACCTTTCCTTACGGGTGTACAATGACAAACAGCTATGCTTGTAGTCAGTAGGAGGCTGTGCTACGCCTAAGATAGCAGTGACTGCTGTTCCTGGGCTATAAGGACCTTCTCCTTGCACGTGAGTTTCGCCCTCATCTCTCATTCTCAACTAATCCTCAACATCAAATGTCCTGTGACAGGGGTTGGTTCAATCTGAGGATCATCCCTTAGAGAATGACAGACAAACCAAGTGATCATTGAAGAGGAATCTCTGTTGACTCAGAAAATAATCAGTTCTCCTTGAATACACACGAGTTAAATTCTCACATCTTCTCTGCCATCTGAGACAGGTTTATTTGCCTTCTGTGATATTTAATCTCAAGAAGGCAAGTTGTGGTAGAGTGATAGACAACAAAGCTCTGAAGACTGCCACAAGTAGGAGATGAGAATCGTGGGGTTTTTTTTGGCTTACACTAAATTTAGGTATTTACAAAAAAAGTGAGTGTATACATGTGTACCGATTGGCTCAGATCCCAAAATCTAGACTAGACTTATCAGTCAACAGAGTTTAGAGATAAATTCGTCATATGGTAGATGTTTATGTTAGTCTTGCTTAATTGCACTGCAGATTTCAATGGCTGAAATAAGATCCCTATGGACAATGGCAGGAGATTATACACCTGGCTGAAATGTAGTGAGTAGAGTTAGAGGTCTGGTTCGGAAGTTGGATGTGACCTCAAGTTCTGTGCAATAGATGGAAAAAGTACATAGTCTCAGCTCAGCCTATGGGTCTGGCAGTACTCAGCATTTCCCAGGCACACATGCCAGAGACAGCAGTCCAGTTTAAGCTCAGAGAAGCATCTGTGAAGGATCAAGACCTGTACTTTTCCAGATGCCCATCTACAGTCCAGTGCTTATTGCATATAGCAGGTATAAAAGAAAGCACTGACTGATCCAAGAACCACATACAGAAGCCTTGTACTCCAACCCACTGAAGTCAGGCAGAGAAAGAAGGATGGAAGCTGTACCAGTTGACAGCTGTTGTAGCTGAAGCTGCCACCATTTTACCCCTATTGCCATTTCTTTAAACACAGGAATCCCTGGCGATTAGCTATCCTCTATCCTACTTACTTTGTGTGCATGTAATGGGGAATTAACTATTTTTCCACAAGCCTAGGTAACCCATTAAGATCCTTCTTTGAACATTCTGTCTAAATAAGTATGTCTTCTTTAATATGCAAGTATATTTATGTGTTTTGGAATAAAAGAGAAAGTATGCATAGAGGTAGGTGGTGTGTGCCTGCGTGTGCACATCACTGCATAAGAATAAAATTGGAGTTGTCGTAGTGTGTTCATATATGAATAGGGCAAACACAGCTCTGTGCAAGCATAAAAAGAAATGCGTATATTTGTGGACCAGGTATTACCCCAGGCCTCTAGCCTTGATGAAACACATAGGTGGAAGAAGTGGATGTTTTGGATGCCATTCAAAGTCTGAGGGACTAAAAATTAGGTACCGTATCACCTAGCTGGTAGGTTTCTGATGCTCTATCAGAATCTTAATAACTAAAATATGTTGGAATACTGGGCCGTGGAAGCTGTCTGCCCATCCAATGAACAGAGTGTATCTCATCTCGCTGCACTAAAGAATATGCAAGATCAACTTGGAGTTTTACAGTACTAAAAAACCTGCTTAATATTTTGGTTTACAAACTGTTGTATACTCTTCTTTGTGATCGAAGCAATGGCAGAAGAACCTCTAAGATATTTCATCACATATCTTTGATAAATGTCTTAGATAATCTCACTACTTCAGCATGGCCCTATGGAAGGGATTTTCCCATCACTTGTGTATCTAGCACACAATGTAAAGTGAAATCATGAAGATGTGCAGCAACACCTGAGCTAAAAAATCTTGCAAATTGTATGCTGTCTACATGCTTCTATCCATATTTTGGATAAAATTACAATGAAATGTGCCATTGGAGTTCATATACAGCAAATCTCTATTTCATGGCAGCTTCTTAGGCTGTCTACACCAATTAATTAAATACTGCTAGAGCATGGGCACAAGAACTGAGTCTACATGTTTATAGCACTCTCTGGCACATTTCAGGTCTGAGCAAACTTCCATTTTATCAGACCATTCCAAGGCACTGTTCAGGAGTCAGTGTAGCAAGACCATTCCCAGCAAACAGCGTGCTTTGAGGCCAGTGTGGTTTGGAGGCTTAAGTATCTATATACTATATAGAATAGGATGATCACAGTGGCATAATGTCAAATGAATTCACAAGCATAGACGAAGCACTGGAACTATTTAGAAAATTAATAAGGATGCAGCTGAATTATTCCTCTATTCGTTGGTATTTTAATTCATCTATATAGCCAATGCAGCTGAGAATATGTATTTCCATACTTCTGGACCATCTTCACTCTCTTTTGATTAGCTTGTGATTTGGCTCACGTCTAGAGATAAGGATATTGGGCCAGTAGATATAGAAAATGACTGACTCACTTACCCTTGTAGCAGGCTGAATACAACCAGCTGGAGGTACTTTGCTGGGTAAGCATAAGCTTCTAGCAGGCACAGATAACAAACAGAATATAGACAATACTGCAGTCTATATGTAGACATATAGATTTAAGTAAGGAAACAAATACAATCATATCTTCATATGTAGTATTTACAAAAATGCCACATTTTGGGTAATTGCTCCTTTTAAAATCATACCTGAAATGTGTTAAATGTCTCTGGATGTCAAGGTCTAGTATTGGAGTCGGTCTGGAGGATCCAAGGGGTGACCTGTCTTGACTGAGAAGGTCTTGGAATTCTTTACATATTTGTCTAAAAGGAAAGCAAATATCCTTAAATGAGATAGGGCTAACTTTATGAAACGGTGATCCCCATAACACAGCCACTTTATACTGGGTGATCTCATTAGTAACAAATGCTTGGCAGAGGTACTGTTAAAGGAGTTAAAGACAAATTAATCCTCCCTCACCTCCTTGTCCCAAATTCCCTGAGCAGGCAACATATAGAATCTCTTGAAGAGGAATAATTCATCTCTGAAACCATGTTAGAATTAATATATTCCATTAATGAAGACTTTTGGTAGGTAGGACCTATGATCCCAGTTTCAGCATCTTGCAATGGGAGCTCAGGATACGTCTTCCCTGACCTCCCAGCAGTCTAAGGTCTTTGAAAAGGATAGTAAGTCTATTTTTCCCCTCTATCTCCTTCTCAAGATACTTCAGCACTAGGGATATCTTTATAAAGGACCTAACAATAAGATATTTTCATGCTTGTGATATTGTTTTATTGGGCTAGTTTATCAATTAGTCAATGGATGTGCTATTAATTCATTATAAAAGAGAAAAAGAAGGCAGAAAGGAGGTCGATCCAGCTGAGTTTGATGCATGCCCTCAGAAGAATGTTATCTGGACCTTGGATGGCAAGAAGTCACTTCCTTTCAATTGGTTTATGATACAGTTCAGTAAATTAAAAAAGGAGAGATGTCCAAATGGCTGTCTCAAGACTTCTTTGATTGGTCCCTTTTCCACTGAATGTATCAGGAATACAGGCACTTAACATGAATTCAGGAGGGGCACAGATAATCAGGACACTCAGCTATGTTGCCTGATACTAGCTTAATACTCAGCTGGTTTGTACTGACTATACATGAACCAGTAAACTAAATGTTGCCAGGGGTTGTTCTCACATCCTCTGACCCATTGCTATTATCTGATAAGGTTCATATGGTTTTGCTCCTAAACAATATGTCTGCATCAAAACTGATTCCTGAAAATGGATGCTGGCATAGAGTGTCTCCCACAACATGCACAGAAGATATTGCAAAGATAAAAGAAGCAGTTTAATATTTTAATAATAACATTATTAAATCTCAACTTGATGCCACGGGGTGTGCATCACTTACTTTGTGTCTGAGCCCAGTTTCTAATGCTAAAGAGAACCTCTACGGTATGATTTCTGCTAGCATACATTTGCTTTGCATACCTGATCCTACATAAAGTTGAAGCTCTTCATCACGACCTTGTTATGATTGTCCTTTGGGCCAGGGACATAACAAAAATTAAGCAGGCAGTCTCAGCTTTTTGTTCTTTAAAATGTCTCTCCTTGGCCCTGTTACAAGTAAGGAAACTCTGCTAACTTGTTTTTACTCTTCATTATATCACTATTCGACCAGATTTGGACACAGACAAAGCACGGCTATATCCTAAGAGGAGAGGGAATGCAGAAAGCTATTTCCCACTGTGACACTGGACTTCATCCAATCCTGATTTCTCTAAACACTTGTCATCAGTATGGACTCAGACACTGCTTGAAAAGACAGCATCATCTTAGCCTTTCAGGCAAAGAGATGCATTCAGCAGAAATGTATGTAAATGTGGCATACAGTTTTAATGAATCAGATCCTTAGAGGAAAAACAGTTCCTTTCAACAACTGAAAACAGTCAGTCATTTTGGCTTCTAAACAATCTGCTATCCCCAGTCGGCCCTGTCAACACCGTTCCTCTCTCCTTCCTCCAACCTCTACTTTCTACCTGTTGAAAAAGTTCATCTTACAAGTTCTTATATTTTGACAAAGAGAAGTGTCAGAACCAAGTGTGCAATTAAGTTCCCTTCCATCTTCACATGTCAAAAGCCTTTACTGAGTGTTGGAGATTGAAAGAAAAGAAGAAAAGTTTTTTATTATACATGAAAACCTTTAAAAGGCAGTAACCTACTTTTGCAAGGGGATTTCTACTCAAAGTGGAGTCTCAATGCCTCCACTACCAACAAAACATTACCTGCGGTAGTGACAGGGAGAAGGGATGACAGTTGTGTACCGTGACGGACTGTGACTTTGCATGAAGAAAGAAAGATGATTAGAGATTAGCTGTGTCAAGATTCTCAGCTAAAAAAATAAAATAAAATAAAATAAAAATAAACAAGGTAGAGAATCCTGGACACTTCTGCAAGGGAGGCAACTAATGATTTGTGATAGATTGGATGGTCTGGTGTATGATCAGAAAAAGGTAAAAAAAATCTGTGCTGGGTCAGACCAAGAGCTCATCTAGCTCATGATTCTGTCCCTAACAAGCTTATCCTTTCAGTTCCTAGCCAGTGTGTGCTTCATTCTGCCTTTGCTGTCACTTGTGTTCTGTGCTGCATACTGGCTACAGAGTCCATCTCTTCTTCCCACTATAATTGTCAGCTAGGGCTCTGAGTTTTCATTGTCTAGACCATCAGATTGTTAGAATAGGCCATAGCAATACCTTGTTACATCAACTAGTACTGTCCTAAGCAGATCCTGGTGAGCAAATGTGAGGAATCATTTTTGAGAGGTAGTTTTAGAAGGTCAAGTAGTTTAGCACAATGGACAGAGCCATTAAAGTGGTTGTTCTGTAGGAGAACAGGCCACTAAAAATGGTCTGCTCCATAGCAGAAGATATCCCTGGCCTCATTCATTGTACTACTATCAATATAGCCTCAGATCAGATAGAAATAAGTGGGCTGGTGAAGTGAATTACTTCAGGCTTGGTCCTCTGCCTCTGTTAAAGAGGGCTACTGGCATCCAAAGAAGCAATCTGTAGTTTTTATTAGCACGTGGATCACAGTTCTGTACATGGAAGAGATGCATCAGCTCAGGATGGACGGACTGCATCACTGCAGGATATAGATGCTCTTGATAACACATGGAGCTTCTACCAGACAATGGGGACATCTACACTGCAGTTATCAAGGGCTCTATTTAGATGCTCACATATGGATATGTAGTATGTAAGACATCCATAAGAAATAGAAAATGTAACACGGTAATGAAAAGATGCCTATGAACTTTTTGGAGCAGCTGCTGGTTACTAAGCTGGATTACCAGTTCATCTCAAATGATTGTAGGTACCAGTGTTTGGGCAAGCTAACCCAAATCACCAAAGTTAAATGTCTGAATCCAGCACAGAATTCCACCTATATACCAGGAATTGCAGAAATAATTTTGTTATTTCCCCTTATTTTTCCTTAAAAATCCAAATATGGATCTAACCAGTTCTGCCAAAAGAATGCTTTTATGGCTCTGTCCCAATTGGGACAGTGGCAACACACACAGGAAGTGGCACTCAATTTATTTCCATAGACAAAATTTATTTCAAATGATTTTACCACCTTGTAATTTCATTTTCATTTTTGTTAGAGGAAGAACAATTGACTCTATTTTCAAGTATCTTCACTTACAAGCACGAGGCAGTGATTATGAATTTAATGAAATTATAAGCCTAGATCTTATGTATGTAGGTTGAGCAATATACACTTCTGTTAAATAACAAGACTATCTGCTATCAGATACATGGAAGTATGGTTGGGAAATGCCAAGCTAGCAATAGGAAGTCATGGACCTGTGTGTCCTGTGCTATCTGGGGCTGGGCTGTGCAGCACTGTTCCCCTTCCAGACAGGAGAGGGCAGTAGTAGCTCACACATTGACCCATCGGTCCCTGATAGCAAGTGCTCTGACTACAGCAGGTTCTGTCCTGGCCTTCGATTGCCGACAAAACACTGATCAGTTTGCTCGTACTGATTAAAAGAGGGGGGGGGGGGGAAGACTTTTTGTTCTTTACTAGTGCAGAATAAGCCAACAAGCATAAAGTTCATAGAGTTTTGGAATAATGGATGTCCATGACTCCCTACCTCAAGAGTAAAGGAGAATGAGAGAGTACATAAGGAGTGATGAGAAAGAGTAGTCAGAGTATTGTCCTTCAGTGGAGGAAGGACATGACAGTCATCCTCTGATTATTGCAATCCGCAGCAAAATGATTCCTCTCTAGAGCCAGAAAAGAGGAAACTATTTCTATCATTAAAGTTGAATGATGTTTATAGGTTGGGCAAACCCTTGAGCTAGGGCAATTTGCATTCTTAACTCTTGTTTACATGGTGAACAGTGGTATGTTCAGCTCTTACAAAGTTATAGGGTGCAGATTGTTGATGGGCAATGTATCAATGGAGAGACACGGCTTGCAGAGAGTAACTACTTTTCTCTAGCTGTTTTCATGTCTCTAAAAGCCCCTGGGCGCTAAAAAATGTATGTAAGTGAGAGTAAGATGATATTCCTCTTTTATTATTCCTTTTCACCAACTTAGGAACATGATTAAAGAGGTCTCCTCAACTTCACAACTGGTAGATTTCCCCGTATCACATGGTGCTCTACTTCGAGGACCGTAATCTGCAGTTGTGGCATTCACAAGCCTGAGAGGTTTCAATGCATGTCACCTCTGTGTCACCTTCAGGGCAAAGATCTCTGGACACGAGAGGGTCACAAAAGGGCCATACGTTCTGTTCCCCACAGATAGATCACACACAAGGACATTAAGATATAAGGGACAATCCTGTGACTCTCTCACCCCTAATGCAGGACAATTCCTCTGTGTATCTCAGCCTGGATCATTCCTATGTTGAGAAAGAGATTTACAGTATCTTGGCTTCTGGACTCAGCTCCCCTACTGTCTCCCTGTGTAATACTGCAGTAAGTCCAGGAGGACTATGACTATACTCAAGGCCACCCCATGCAAGTATACCACACACCCAGTATAGGTCTAACTTATGCCATGCAGACTATTTATTCCAATTTCCTATGGCTCACAAAGCCTAATTCCTCCTTCCTCAAGGCTAATTAACCCAGATGAAATGTTATCCTAACATGATGTTACTGCTCTAGGGACGTGAGTGGCTTGTTTTGAGTAAATCCTGGTGTCTCTGTGTGTCTTTAATGGTTTTAGCAAAGCTCCCCTGCTGGTATACATTGTTCCAGTGCCTTTGACTTCAGGGAAACCCTTGAAATTTTACAACCAGGGAGGATTTGCCCCTCTGCAAACACTCCCTCAGCAGACTAACAATAGTTATCTAATAGAAACTAGTAGTTCAGCAGAAGCTTAGATCTCCTGCTCACACATCCTTGTTTTTGCTGTTGTGCAAGCAGGAGGCAAAGCCAGGCTCTGTCCTACAGCTCTTACCATGTGAGAACGTTCTCTCTGTGTTCCCAAATCACATCATTCAAGTATGGAAAGATGTACATCTGCCTAACTGCAGGCAAGGAGAGTGCAGCCACTAAAACCTTCTCATGGTAAACAAGCATTTTACAGCACCTCTGCTGAAGCTTGCTCTCCTTTTCTGGCACTGAGCAGTTGTGATGGCAGTCACCACAATCTCAGATCTTTATTCCCACTCCTCCCTCTTCCAGCCCCCAGATTCAAAATGGAAAAAACAACAGACAGATTTAATTGACATTATTCCCCCTTCTTACTTTGTTGCTAGGATCATCTTTTTCCTTGCTGTCTGCTCTTTCTGTTCCATGTGCTGTCTGGCAATGTGCTCTCCTACTGCCTTGGCAGGGAATTCTGTTTCACAGGTGTAGCCGAAATCTCTGGCCAAATGTAATGCTTCCCCTGTGGGTAAACAAAACAGGTCAGTCCGTTTTTAGGATTTTAGTTTTTTCCTTATACAATTTCTACCATTATTATAAATAAATAAATAACACGACACTTTCAGAGACACCCATTTCCAATCTCTGTTACTGATTTCTGTCCATTTCAACTGTTTGTGCTTTATCATCAGATGGTGACAGCCAGAAGGTAGGAAGGATGCTCCTGTTGTAAGAAAATACTAGTCAAGACTCTTGGGTTTGACTACCTCCCTTGTCAATAGAACACTGGGTAGTTGTGAAAGTTTTGTAAACTCATCTCCTCAATATTTAAGGTGTGAAAATTGGTGAGGAGTGAGAATAATACTTTCTGAGGAGCCAGGATTCAACCCCGAGACTTCACTTTTCTACTTCTGAACAAAGAATAGCCTTCTACCCCAAGGTAGATCTGTGGGAATAATATGCATTTCAGCATATTTTCTTGGAGTTAAAACAACAAGCACAGTGCATATGCCCCACAATGAAGTACAACAGAAGAAACAATCCCGTTTCCAGAAAATAGACCAGACAAAATAAAAAGGGAAGACAATGGAGATCACAACTGATATTTTGTTGGTGGGAAAGTAGGTGTATGGGAAGTCTGTGACAAAGGTAGGCACTGAATATGTCCCTGCGTCAGCTATAAAGACTGGACACTCAACTCCAAGCTGGGTGCCAAATGCCTCTGGAAGCATCTGTCCCTCTCTACTAAGTCAGAGAACCCAAAAGTAGATTTTATGATTTACCAAATTCTCCGTGATCTGCATGCTGGGACTCTGACAACCCTGGCATGAGATTTAGCTGATCAAACACAGCTGACTGACGTGTGAACATCTGTGCCTAAGTTAGTCTTTTCCTGGTGGGAAATAGGTACTTTGAGATCACGCTAGCTCTTGTCTCAAAGTAGAAGATAGAAACAGGTCAGCTACCAGAGGTGTGTATTGAAGCACATCTGTATAAATGACTAACAGGGTTGTGCTCCAGAATAATTTTGGGGCTAGGGCTTTTTTTGGTCCATTCATTTGTTTTCAGGGGTGTGTACTTGAGTGCCATCATGAATGGTGACATTGGACCCTGGCCCTTTGGACATCGTGCTGATGCCCCAGATGGACAAATAGGAGGGATAAAAGACATGCATCAACTTCTTTTGAGAATACCTGCAGTGAGATTAATATGACTAAAAGGTATCTGAGCTAAAACTCTATAAGTAGAGTAGGTCAATAGCTAGAAGCTAGCACTTGAAGAACATAGATTGTATCAAAATAGGGGAAAAATGAACCATATAAGTTATTGAAAAGACAAGGTTAGATGGCAATTATGGAGATCTTCTGTTGAAAGCAAGGCTTTAGATAAGGTTATTCAGGCCTAGGCTTGAATATTTCCAACCATGGAAATTCCACGACTTTTCTAAGCAACTTAATTCAGTATTTAATTATTAACTTATTTTTGTTCATTTGTTAATCACCACAAAATACTATTTTCTCCCCACTGACTACAGTGGGACATGAGAAGATATTCCAATAGAAATGATGAGGGGAGACAAGTCCTCTCCTCAGCAAGACTAAGTTTGCTCTGTACCGACCAGGCAAAGTCAAGGAAGATGGAAACTTTGATGGGAGAAGTGGTTTTGTGTTTCAGGCAGCACAAGGTGTAATGGACCACAGGCAATGATCACTATTCTCCACCTTTTAGAGTTTATGATGTTCCATTCTATCATTGGAGATTTTACAAGAACTTTGCAAAAAAAAAAAAAAAATATATATATATATATATATATTATATATATATAAAACTGTTGTTTTCATAAGGAAGTACTTGATTATATGTATATTTGACCTAATTGGACTCAGATGATACATGTAATCCTTCCAGGCAACTTGTTTGCTGACACCTACCATCTCAGATGTAAATGATTTTATATGCAAAAGTTGAAAATTATACTTGTAGTTACAGATTCTCAGTATATCTGAGAAGAATAAGAAGTTAGCAACCAACTCTGGGTTGGAAAGACAAATGGTTTTTACTTGGCTTATGGATCCTGGAAACTTTTCTAAAGTCAAACAATTTTCAGTGAAAATAAGATGGATTATAACAGTGAGTCAGAATGAACTGGCATATAATACACCCTGACTTGTTTTTAAAACATCCATCCTTCGGTTCACCATAAATGAAAAAGGGTAAAAATTTCATCTGTAACTTCTAAACTTTTATTGAAGGGCATCAAAATTTCTGTTTTATTTCTCTGTTTCTGTCCCTTAAATAAATGCTTAAGAAGTAAATCAACTGCAGAAGCACAATTAAGTGCAAAATCGAGTTTTGCTTTTCAGCAAAACTCCATTAAAACACTTGACAGGTTTGTTTTCATGTCAGTGTAGAAAGAAGACAAGAATCAAACCCTTTGAAGCTGTCATCAGGTGGAATTGCCATTCTCCAGACAGCTCTATTTTGATACAAGTCAGACTCAACTAATGACACATAGAATGTAGTCAGCAAAGCCATTGGAAAGAAAAACTTGCTTTCTTCAAGAAAACCAAATTTTATGTGATAAAATGTCAGCATTTATTTAACACGTTCAGCAATAAAACAACTGAAATTTGAATGTTTTCACATAACGTCAAAAAAGAAGGAAAAGAAAACATGAACTGCCATTAAGATGAATCCTTCCAGAGATGGTGTATATTATTTACTAGAGCCAAAAATGCAAAATTGATTGGATGATATTAGAAAATTATATAAAATTATAGGATTTGCACATTCTGTTGGTAGTTGAGATTGTGATTATGACTGGCTGCTGGTAGCATATGAAAAGAAACAGTCAAGAGCAAAAAGAAAGTGTAAAGGAGTTACACATCAGCTATGCACATAGGTAGGAAAAAAAGTTTGGCTGCAAAAGTGACTGTGGCATTGTGTGACCAAAATAAGTCTGCAAATAATTTAAAGATTTTTAAATATTGGGTTTTTTTAGTGAAAATGGAAAACTGATGTAGATTATGAATGTGAATTATAACTCTATTTAACTTCACATATAGCACATACTTCCATGCGACATATGGAATCAGCATTCTAAATTACAATATAAAATTCCAGATAAAACTACAAATCCAGATGTGGAAACGCTGTTCTGAACATGATTTATCACACTTCATAGTCGAGGCAATATGTCATTTTTGAACTGGAACTAAATAACAGTGTATTTAGAAGTGGGTTGTGATGTACTTCCATAGAAAAATGTGCATATTTAATCTCAATGAATAGAAGTCTCTTGCATTAATGTGCAGTAAAAAAATAGGTCTGTGGAAAGTGGTTTGCATGAAATGCCGTGGAATGCATTCTTTACATTTCTACATCAAAATTTTGATAAACATTCACTATAGGGAAGAAAGTGGAAATACTGGAAACGTGAACGGAACGATTTCTTTGCTTTCACCTTAGCTTTGGAAGCATCCCTGGAGGCATTCAGGCTGGATGTGGCTCTGGGCAGCCTGGTCTGGTGGCTGGCGACCCTGCACATAGCATTGGGTTGGAACTAAATGAGCATTGTGGTCCCTTTCAACCCAGGCCATTCTATGATTCTATGATTTGCTTTACTCTGCTTTGCTACTACTTATGTCAGGAAGGAGGAAAGAACCCCTAGAATTCCTGGCAATTACGACTAATTACTTTGTTTCTACCTCAAATCATATTTTCTCTGTGCAATATCTCAATCACTTTCCTCCCACAGAGACATAGAATGGGTGCTGAGGATCATTGGCTTTTTCTACTTAAATCCAGCCCACAGCTTTGCACATATAAGCAGTGCTGCCTTTCCTATGTAGTTTGACAATTGACCAGAGAACTTTGCATGATGGAAAAGGACAGTTACTGAAGATTAATTGGCAGAGACAGCTCTGGAAAGCCTCAGCGGAGAGACCAGCCTGCGTACCTTGACAGGCTTCTGTAGGCAGGTGCAAGGAGCAGCAGGAGCCTCTCCTGGGTCTGGTAAGAGTGAGAGATGCTCCTATGCAGAGTGAAGGCAAGAAGAAGTGTCCCAAGAGAGGGACACTTGGCATCTGAACCTCCTGCTCTCTCTTCAGTGTCAGCTCCTCCAGATAGCAGAGATGCTACCCAAGGGGGAGGAGGGATAAGCAGAAGGTGGAGTGAACAGATTTTTTTTCAATTTAGAGGATGAGAAGGGAGGAATTACAAGTGGAAGGATATTAAAACAAAGGCTGATGGAGGAGAAGTGTGGCAGTTGCTGGTAGGGTGAAAAAAGTAAAGAGTGACCTATTTTTCTCAAGAGTTTTGGTCCCCAGATGATGAATGTAGTAAATTCTGTATTGAGTGAATGTAGAGTTTCAATTAGATTTGTCGTGAAAAGAATTCCAGGTCTTTTCATAAATACTTTTTATGACATTTGTATGAAATTCTGTTGTTTTAAAATCCATTCATGTATTTCTTTATCTGCATCTGCAGTCACATTTATGCTGTCTCTGCCTTATGAGTTATCTGTGCAAGCAGCTGGGGATATCTCCCATCTTCTCACATCCTTCCTTATTCTCACTGGGGATAATTTTGATTCCTTTGAGCTAGCAGTAATGGTTAACCTTAGCAATGTTTATACTTAATGAAGAAGCCTTTATTGCACTGGCTAAAATGTAGGATTTTTAACGTTTGTTTGTCTGTTTGTTTAAGAGCTGGTTGGGAAAATGGCCTTTCCCTTCATCTAACTTAGGCACTAGAGGGCATTCCCAACATAAGGTTGCACAAAGCTATGCCCAATACCACTGCTGCAATGCTATGTTCAGTCTCCCAGTCTTCCTTTCTGCACATTGTGCTGATCTATTTGGATGGCAACATAAAGAACAGAGCTGGATTGTCAAGCTATTTATACTTTGAACCCAGAATTTCTTGCCAAGGACAATAAAGGTGCAACCTGATCAGTGCAGCAGCAACACTAAATAGCTATCAGCTACCCTGAACCAAAAGTGAAGCAAATTTGTAGAAAGAAAAATTTTAAAAAAGTGAAAAACAGAATAGTTTTCATAAAACCTGGATCTTCAGATGGCCACCACAACCCAGAAATCTCTCTTTGATGAACTTAGATTTCCCCAGATCACAATGATTTTAGTTTATTTTAGACAAGGAGGAGTCTTAGTTTTGTCAGAGGCTTTTGAGATGTCTTTGGACAATATATGTAGTAACCATACAACTAGCTTTGCGTCTTTTTAGCTCAACTTGATACTCAAGAGGTCAAGCACATTCTTACCCTGTAGGATATTAATGCCAACAATACAGTTAGGACTATGAAAGCCTAATTAGTTTCAATTAAAAGAATCTTAAAACCATCTACCCTAATCAAGAACAACACAGTCCTGAATCTATATGAAAGACCACACTGTCCACCTGGTATCTGGGGAATCAAAAAGGCTGAAAAATCATGATGTCAATTTCTGCATTAACATCATACATTAAAAGCCAATGCTGTTTATTTCATGACCTCTAAAAACTGTAGTGAGCCTATGTGTTTCCATTTCTGCCTCATCCAGCCATAAGTTGTAGCAACTTGGAAGTGACATCTGCACGTACAGAGGGAGGATATCTTATCCCACATAGAATTCAACCGTACTGCAGATTTTGACCAAAGATTATTTATACAGAAAATGAACTTTAAATTGATTTCTGTTAGAACATGAACATATATGGCAGTGCCTTTCCCAAAAATTCCACTTGATAGCATTCATGCTTAGCATATCGAAGCAAGATGGACAGTGTCAAAGTGAACTCTGTCTCCTCAGTATAAATCTTTAGGACTTAGAATCTCACAGTAGAACAGTACAAGAACAGGAGCAATAACACAGAATCAAGAATAGGTTTGAATTTGGCTATGAGCAAATGTCAGGGAAGCAAACTTTTTTTCATTCCTGGGAAAAAAAGGGGATCTAACTGTGATTTACAGTAAAAGTACATTACCATCAATCCCAGGCCAGCAATTCAAAGATTTCCCCCCTCTCCGCTTCTTCTAATGAATGAATAACTGGCCACATAACTCTTTTTATTCTTCCCTGCTAAGACCCAAGACTCACTGAGGACTATAAGGAACAGCTCGTACTCCCCTATACTGGTATCTTTCATAAGACTGCAGCTTAATTATGTCTTTCTCTTTATTACAGAAAAGTGTAATATCAACATCTCTATATTTCTGAACAGCCTCTCTGTTGTTTTATAAGCTCAGTGGCCCAAGGAGATCACAGATCTTCTCTTAGATTGTGAAAAAAAATCTCCCTAAATGCGGATTCAGCATTTTTTTCTGTCTTGTGGACTCTCCATTCTTGGAGATATTCAAAACCTTGACTAGACAAGGTCCTAAGCAACCTCCCCAGTTTGACACTGCTTTGAGCAGAAGGGTTGAATTAGAAGATCATCAGAGGTCCCTTGCAGCCTCAGCCTCTCTGTAGTTCTGTGGTAATAATACATGCTGAGACCTCATTCTACTTGCCAAGATCTGTATGGACTTCTCAGGTTATAATCCTGGAAGGTGTTGACCTTTAGGATGAGCTGAGTGCTCTCCACATCAAGGAAGAGGGATCTGAAATTCCCAGAGCTGCTCCTTGCAGCCAGACAACAAACTGAGTATTTAGTGGATTCACCCAGAATAGAAAAGATTCGGGTAGAGTTTCCTCCCTTTGCCTGAGGGGTTTGAACCTGCCTCTCCCAGCTGAATGTTCAGAGACCCCAGTCAGTATTTGGTGAATGGTATTTAAACAACAAATAAAAGCCAAGAAAATATCTCCCGGGTCTGTCTACAATTTATCTGGGAAAAAAAAAAAAAAAAAAAAGATTTTATTCATTTATGTATGGGAGGAAAAGGGTTGTCTAAATAATACGCTTCTTATGGGAGTAAAAATATCACGTCTTTGGATCAGCTCCAGGAAATTCACAAGAAGGATAAACAAACCTACTTGGAGAGCTGGTGTAAGACATTCATCTCTCTCACAAGAGCACTTGGATCATCGATTAGTAAGTCAGATCCCAGTATAAAAAGCGCAGATCAATGCTGAGGAAACTTCATGACCAAACAAATTGCTGGGAGCCAAGACATCTCAGAGCAAACTTCCATGTTGCCTCTGGTTCTGTCTGTGGCTTTGGGCAAGTCAGTTCTCTTCTTTGTACAGAATACATATAATATTTGACACAGTGGATGAAACGTGTTTTAACACAAGACATTTAAATTACAATTATGCTATATCGCAGAATTATAAACTCTACCTTCTACCAAGGAAGTCAAGAGTGTGACATTTGCTGCTTTTCTTCTTCCTGCAGGTAAATTCAGTCCCAGTCTGTCTAATTTTTCTCTCAGGCAACGTCCTCCGTTCTTAGATTTTGCTCTGTCAGGAGAAAGAAACTCATATTTACCGTGTTTCTTCATCTACAAATGGCATACACCTTATTGGCAAATGTGTGGAGTAATGCTAGCTCTGATTACATTGATGGGAAATCTGTCAGAGTTGTTCACTCACACTGTGTGAGTTTTTCAGGTTTATCTTTTAAAAGTTAAGCATTTTAATGCCTGTCACAGGGGCATCAGATCTTCAGACAGCTTTCAACCTAGTGGGACCCATGGCCCTGATTTGGGCACTGCAGCTGGGATTGCAAAGGCTGAATATAAATATTGACAGCGTTGTCAGTTATACCTGACCTAGCCACCTCAGGCTCCCAAGACGGTTGAGAGAGACAAAAATCAACTTGTGATAATAAACAGAAGTCTGGGATAAGGAATCTTTGCCAATTTCTTCTATCTGGCTAAAAAAAAAGAAGCCAGACAGCTGCTCAAATACAGAAGTCAATGTGCAACTCAGCTTTAGCTACCCCCATATGACCAATATAGAGATCTGAGTGCTTAAGCATGTAGTCTATGAAGGCCAGCACTTACTAAGAATAGGGATAAGACAATAGGAAATGTTAAGGCTAAAATCCCAGTCATCTTTGGCTAACTGTATCCCTATCCCAGATGCTTACATCACTTTGTTCTCATAGAATGGTTGCTGGTGCATCTCACACCTGTTCTTCTTGCAGTGCCTGAGTATTTGAAGCATTTCAAGCTTATCCACTTACGCAGCAGACTTAGGTTCAATTTCTTGTTCAGCCTGAGGGAATTTGAACCTCTGCCTTTTAGCAGCCAGCTGGAAGTGCATAACTAATGTTAAAATGCTTATATATTGAATAGAGAAGTGACTGGAACCTTGATCTTCCCTATTCCAAATGAGTGATCTGGTCATTAGATAATATAATCACCACAACAGTTATGCCTTCACTTTTAACCACAAATGTTTAATTATCACAAAATGAGACTGAGGGCTCCCTAGCATAGAATAATCCATTCTGTTAAGATAGAATGAGGGGGAATATCCTCAAGTTGCACCAGGGAAGGTGGATATTAGGAAAATCTTCTTTTCCAGAAGAGTGATAATGCACTGGAACGAGCTCTCCGGGATGTTGGTGGAGGTGTTCAAGAAACATGTGGATGTGGTACTAGGAAACATGGTATAGTGGTCAGTATTGGTGGTAAGTGGATGCCTGGGATAGATGAATTTAAAGGTCTTTTCCAACCTTAATGATTCTACAATTCTATCATTCTGTGAGCCTGTGAGTCTATGATTCTGTGAGTCTGTGATTCTAAGAAGAGTGTCTGATGTTTTGAGATTTATCAAGTTCTTTCAGACAGAGGAAGGAACCAAATTTGGAATGCCCCAGTTTTCATGGTTGGTTTTACCCACTAAGATACACCACAGTTTTGGATATATAATATGTCAGGAAGTGTGACCTGAGTGCAGCTTGCTGGAGAGATACTTTGATAGTGATTACTAATAGAACATAAAACTAACCCTGCCAGGTCTTGGACAAATCATGAACTGTATTTGTTAGCACTACCTCTTCACTTGTCAGCTATGCAGTGATTGAGTCCAGTCTGCGAAACCTGATCAGATCCATGCATTACACTCTTTGCCCTGTGAAACAGAATTGCTGTATCCAAACCACCAGCTTGGAGCAGCCCCTGGCTAAATTGTCAATCACGCCCCAGGGTAATTTGGAAGAGTGATAATTGGTCTGGGTCGAAAACTTAGGGGGATCATTCTAGATTTTAACAAAAGAGAGAACTGAGTCACCATGCTCAGCCTCGTGCCCTTGCATTCTCAACAGCTTGCAATGCTATTGATGAAGTCGATGGTGTGAGTATCTGAAGTGAATATTTCAGTGGCTCTTAGCTGAAAGCATATTCAGGGTGAAGTAAATAGCAGAGGAAAATTTTTGTAGATGTTGATTTTGGTCCTTACTCTGCAAGACGGCTTGAAACAGCTATTAGACTGCTACATATCTTAGAATATCTCAGTTGGATAAAATGACTTTCAGTGTGAGTATGAGGATCAGTGTGGCCTTCAGTGACAGCAGTGAAATAGCCAATAACTTTCCAGCTAGTTTTGATCAAAGGGCATTCAAGTAGCTTATGCCATCTAAGTTGACGCCTCAGGGACATTGAGACTCTCATATGGCTGAAATACAGTTGCCTCCTTGTTTTCCACTTGTAATGTGAAGCAGAGTCTGCCTCTTTCTTCCTTTCTGTTGCTGCTTTCTCTAAGTGTCTACTCTGGTCAGTGGAGGGTCAGAGGCAAAACTACCTAATTACTTGCTTCTCCTTCAGCATCTTACAATGAGAAGAAAATGAAAACTGCATCTTCTGCGAACTTTAGCCTTTCCATGCTCAAAAGGCAAGAGAAAGTGAATGTAAGAAGGATGCATCCCTAAATCTCCATGACTTAGGGATTTTTTTTGTGTGTAGTTATTGCTGTTTTATACTTGGTAAAACAACTTACTTCGAAATAGCTTCTCAAAGGAGTCAGATTTACAATGCTGGTGAGATTTTCTGCATACAGAACTTTTTTTTTTTTTTTTTTTCCATTTTATAATAAAGAAAACAATGCTTGTCTATCTCTGATGGGTAACTGAACTAAGAGAGTAAAATAAAATGAAAATGTAAGCTTTCTGTGAATAAAATAAATGCAAACTTATTTTTTCCTTTTTTTCACTGAAATTTTCCCCAGAAATTTTCTTCATTCCTAATCAGTCTCCTTCTGCTTTCACAAATTGTGACCAGCCACCCAAGCAAGTTGAGAGAACAACATTTACTTGAGGAAAATGAAATCACAGAAATGACAGCAATGCCTCGTAATTGTTATTCCTGCCTTCACCTTACCTTCTCAAAATACCTCCTAAGAGGGAAGCGTTGAGGCATTCTGGCGGTGAAAGGCGTCTCTTCACCTCTGCAATGGTCACTTTGTACTTTGAAGTGGAGCTGAGTAGGGACAAGCGACCAGGTACAGAGCAGAACAGGTCGGTGGGGTTAACAACGCAGGTACCACCTGTAGAGCAAATGAAGTGTTAGAGTGAGGCAATCTTCAAATTCCCTATTTTGACAGATTCGATCGTGAAAAACAATTACATCGTGTGCTGTTGCTGTTGCTTTTAATATTGCATCATTTGCTTTGAGAAAGATGAATGATTACCTGTTTCAGTGCAGAAAAAGCAAACTATTGGATCTCTTAGGTTTTACGTACAAAATAGGTCATTATGGCTACTTCTTCAGATTTCATGCTCAACAAAAATTACACGATGCCATTGAAAGACTCATGTGTCTGGTATGGTAAAAACATATGATTGAACAAGATTCAGGTGTCACTCAATTAAAAAAATGCAATTGGTTAAAAATTAGAACATTGGTTCCAATGAGAAACAATCTCTTTGACTCTCATAGAGGTGTTTAGGATCACGGGGATGCAAAGGCACTACAGGCTTGCAGTAATTTGAAGACAGAACAGCTTTCTATGCCTTTTAACTCTCATATAGTCCTTCTAAAGTCAGGTCAAATCCTCAAATATCGTTAATGATTGAAATCTATTGAGCTCTATCACTTTATCTCAGATGAGTTCTGGAACTGTTTACCTTTTGAAAGCGGCAATTACTTGGACTGGGTCTAAAACTGCTGAATGATCACCAAATCTTTCAGTGAAGACTGTGATCAATAACTCCTTGGGTAAAATGGATCTTTCAAGTCAAAGCTGATTTCTGAGACAGTGAAAGAAAAAAAACTTTTTCTGGATCTGATCCAAGAGGATAAAGCAAAAATCTTAAGGACTAGCAAATATTTTATCGCCAAGTGCGAAAAGCTCTTCTTTGACCTGCCTTCTCCATCCTGACTAAAAAAAAAATCTGTGGAAGCAATAAATCTTACCACTGCATGCACAATACTTCTCTGTGGGAAAGATGAGAAAAAAGAATCAGCTGCATGTGACAGTGATATAAAATATTACATTGTTCAGTGCACTACTGGAAGGAGTTCAGGTGTCCTGTGC